TTACAATAGAAAATTGACATATTGCCACGTGTATAAAATAGAACATTGAGATATTGCCACGTGTATACAATAGAACACTGATAGTGTGGCACGGGTTTACAATAGAAAATTGACATATTGCCACGTGTATACAATAGAACATTGACATATTGCCACTTGTATACAATAGAACAATGACATATTGCCACGTGCATACAATAGAACTTTGACAGTGTGTCATGTGTTACAATAGAACATTGATATGGTGTCATATGTATACAATAGAACATTGACATGTTGTCACGTGTATACAATAGAACACTGATAGTGTGGCACGGGTTTACAATAGAAAATTGACATATTGCCACGTGTATACAATAGAACATTGACATGTTGTCACGTGTATACAATAGAACATTCATAGTGTGTCACGTGTATACATTAGAACATTGACATGGTGTCACGTGTATACGATAGAACATTGACATGGTATCAAGTGTATACAATAGAACATTGCAATGGTGTCACGTGGATACAATAGAATATTGATATGTTGTCACGTGTATACAATAGAACATTGACATGTTGTCACGTGTATACAATAGAACACTGATAGTGTGGCACGGGTTTACAATAGAAAATTGACATATTGCCACGTGTATAAAATCGAACATTGAGATATTGCCACGTGTATACAATAGAACACTGATAGTGTGGCACGTGTTTACAATACAAAATTGACATATTGCCACGTGTATAAAATAGAACATTGAGTGTATACAATAGAACATTGATAGTGTGTCACGTGTATACATTAGAACATTGACATGGTGTCACGTGTATACGATAGAACATTGACATGGTATCAAGTGTATACAATAGAACATTGCAATGGTGTCACGTGGATACAATAGAATATTGATATGTTGTCACGTGTATACAATAGAACATTGACATGTTGTCACGTGTATACAATAGAACATTCATAGTGTGTCACGTGTATACATTAGAACATTGACATGGTGTCACGTGTATACGATAGAACATTGACATGGTATCAAGTGTATACAATAGAACATTGCAATGGTGTCACGTGGATACAATAGAATATTGATATGTTGTCACGTGTATACAATAGAACATTGACATGTTGTCACTTGTATACAATAGAACACTGATAGTGTGGCACGTGTATAGAATAGAACATTGACATATTGTCACGTGTATACAATAAAACATTTACATGTTGTCACGTGTATACAATAGAACATTGACATCGTGTCACATGTATACAGCAGAACATTGACATGTTGTCACGTGTATACAATAGAACACTGATAGTGTGGCACGGGTTTACAATAGAAAATTGACATATTGCCACGTGTATAAATTAGAACATTGAGATATTGCCACGTGTATACAATAGAACACTTATAGTGTGGCACGTGTATAGAATAGAACATTGACATATTGTCACGTGTATACAATATAACATTGACATATTGCCACGTGTATACAATAGAACATTGACATATTGCCACGTGTATACAATAGAACATTGACATATTGCCACTTGTATACAATAGAACATTGACATATTGCCTCTTGTATACAATAGAACATTGACATATTGCCACGTGCATACAATAGAACTTTGATAGTGTGTCATGTGTTACAATAGAACATTGATATGGTGTCATATGTATACAATAGAACATTGACATCGTGTCACATGTATACAGCAGAACATTGACATGTTGTCACGTGTATACAATAGAACATTTATATGGAGTCATGTGTATTTTTAGTGATATTGACATGATGTCAACTATGTGTATACAATACACCATTGACTGACATTATGTCAGAATAGAACATTGACATATTGTCACGTGTATACAATAGAACATTGACATGTTGTCACTTGTATACAATAGAACACTGATAGTGTGGCACGTGTTTACAATAGAAAATTGACATATTGCCACGGGTATAAAATAGAACATTGAGATATTGCCACGTGTATACAATAGAACACTGATAGTGTGGCACGTGTTTACAATAACAATAGAACATTGACATATTGCCACGTGTATACAATAGAACATTGAGATATTGCCACGCGTATACAATAGAACACTGATAGTGTGGCACGTGTTTACAATAGAAATTTGACATATTGCCACGTGTATAAAATAGAACATTGAGATATTGCCACGTGTATACAATAGAACACTGATAGTGTGGCTCGTGTATACAATAGAACATTGACATATTGCCACTTGTATACAATAGAACAATGACATATTGCCACGTGCATACAATAGAACTTTGATAGTGTGTCATGTGTTACAATAGAACATTGATATGGTGTCATATGTATACAATAGAACATTGACATGTTGTCACGTGTATACAATAGAACACTGATAGTGTGGCACGTGTATACAATAGAAAATTGACATATTGCCACGTGTATACAATAGAACATTGACATGTTGTCACTTGTATACAATAGAACACTGATAGTGTGGCACGTGTATACAATAGAACATTGACATATTGTCACGTGTATACAATATAACATTGACATGTTGTCACGTGTATACAATAGAACACTGATAGTGTGGCTCGTGTATACAATAGAACATTGACATATTGCCACTTCTATACAATAGAACAATGACATATTGCCACGTGCATACAATAGAACTTTGACAGTGTGTCATGTGTTACAATAGAACATTGATATGGTGTCATATGTATACAATAGAACATTGACATGTTGTCACGTGTATACAATAGAACATTCATAGTGTGTCACGTGTATACATTAGAACATTGACATGGTGTCACGTGTATACGATAGATCATTGACATGTTGTCACGTGTATACAATAGAACATTGACATGTTGTCACGTGTATACAATAGAACATTGATATGGAGTCATGTGTATTTTTAGTGATATTGACATGATGTCAACTATGTGTATACAATACACCATTGACTGACATTATGTCAGATGTATATAATTAAATATTGTAATTACGTCCAGGTTGAAACTGCACATTATCGAATGACCACTTATCTTGAAGTTTAGTTATTAACTTTCCACGTCGTCTAATTGCTATATTGAGACCACACTGTCAACGACCATAGTCCATAAGATGTATTGCATGTCATTACATTTATATCTTATGTATGCAGTGTCTGCTTATAGAAAAATGGAGGATGCTGTCCAAAATACTTTACTATTTACATCAAGCGTTTCTCTAAAGCATCACGGTGTCTAAAGACAAGTACATATAAAAATAATAAATCGGAAGTAGATGCTTCAGTAAAAAATTAACGCTAAGACAACGGTGTTTATATCAAGTTACGACTTTATTAGACATCTTCTAACCATTGGACTTTTCCTGTTTCATAGGAAGCTTGGAGTGTTTGATATTTACTTTTTCAAGTGGCACTCTTGTGTACAGCCTTAAATTGATAAACCTATACATGTTTAAGCTGATTTTTGTTTTACAGATGAGCACAGAAACCAGAAAGATACCGCTACATCAAACACTCAGTTACCCGGTTATACAAGAGTACCCCAGGGGCGCAACAATATACATGTTCACTTTCGCACTTATTGTGCAGAAGCTGTTCACCAATCAGAGCGCAATATGCGAATTCTAATCGCGTTTGAACTTGGAATTTGTCTTTATATATTGTACAAGCTTATTTTTAAAACAAGTTTCATCAAAATCAAATGATTTTACGGAAACTATGAAGAGTGGACGTTGATCAATTAGAAGCTGATCTTCGGACGCAGCTATTTTCGTTGTATATTGCAGATGTTTATCAAGTTTCATAAACATCGAATAAAAACTTGTCGAAAATGCTAAGTGTTGACGAACGGACGCTCCCACTACCAAATTACTTTAATACTTGGTCTCGAATCGTCCCGGCCTTTTGTAATACATTCCAGTTCAGGAAGGATGAAAATATCTCAGCCATTCAGGTTCCACCAAAGCTACTTAGACAAATAAGCTCAATATAATATCACCACTTTTTTAAGACCATGAGAGGATCGTTTCACCAAATTTGGTCAAAACCAGTTAAGTGGAAGATCAGAAGTAAATAAGAATACCCCATTGGTCCTTGCATTTTCTTATGGAAATAGTAAACCCTGTTCAGTGAAGGAGTGATTACTAATAGAGCAGACATTGTGAAAGCATCTTGGTATTGACTGCTCTTAAGAAGTATCAAACTAAATCATTATACCATGTACTTTGTGACATGGTTATAAAAAATTAAAGCAGATTACATCTGATGTAGTTGTTGATAAAGGTTCACATTATTCCGATAATTTAAACGAAATTCAGCGAACACGAGATAACAACCGGACGGACGTCGAGACACAACCCATGCAAACAAGCAGACCGGACGGGCAGTATTACATAATTTTCCGACAAATTTGTACACATAAATATCAATAAACAACAGGGCCTGTATCGCTCACCTGGATCTGAATGCTCAGCAAATGGCTCTGGGGTTGGGACTATAACCATTTCAAATTATGGCCCAGAAATTAAGTATCGGCCTAGGGTTTGGGCCAGACCCAATAGTCATTACCAGTATCATGATTGTGTTCGTCTTTTGATGCTCAGCAATGGTAAGTATGTTTATGGGGTGGGGATCTGAACTGTTTCAAAGTTATGGCTCACTAGGGGTGGAGCCAGACCCTAGAGTTAGTTCTTATATCACGATTGAGTTTGTCTCTTTACTTCTAGGATTGTATACATTATTATAGAGAGCCTGGGAGGGATCTCGATAATGTCCAAGTCAAAAATCTGTTTTTGTCCAGCACCCATGGGACAACCCTTCAATTGCTACAATTTTGAAACAAAAATCACCGAACAACTCCCCAAACCAAATATGGTTGATATCCTTCACTTCCCATTTGTATAATTCTGAATCCTAACCAGTTTAGATTGATCCAAATATAATATGGTTGATATCCATCTCTTATTCCCAGAGAAGAGGTCTCTTAAGCAATATGGCTTATTTACTCCTTTAGATAGCTATTGGAAGAAGGTAGTTACACTGTTACACCGAACACAAATCTTTGGCAGAGAATGGACAGCACTTATTATGGTGAGGATTGACACCAAGACCTTTCCAGCAATAGAAAACACTAAAAACACATGTTCTATCAACTTAGTACTTTATTTCCGGACTTTTTTCTGTGTGTCCTTACAGAAATCTTGTAAAACATTATATTTTCTGTCCTGATTTTCTCTTTTGATATTGTTTAAATTAATATTGGGATTATTCTAGTGTGAGAGTAGGTGTGCACATGAAATTCTAGTCCAAACTTTATCCACCAGATTTTCAAACACACTGGCACATCTCGTCTTTATTTTCTTGTCATCATCAAATGAACTGGATTTCCACTGGCTTACAAAATCATACTGGCATCACTTATAAAAAAATAAATACATACAACATACAAATGCCGACCAGTCCATATTATTCATTAGTCAAAATATTTTGGCCACAGAATAAAAATTTCAAAGGCAAACATTTTCAAAAATAAACCCTTTCCAATTTCAATGCTAAAGGATTGTCAATATATTCCGGAAATTTTATAGGATCTGTGGAGCTTGCAAAATCTATGGTTTACACAATCACACTTTTGTCTCTTGTTCCAGTTTCTAAAACCTTCCTTAACATTAAAGGAATTTTTCAACTCCAAATTCCCACGGAAAATCTGAGGCTTTGTACATAATCTCAGCGCCAGGCTGATTTTTCCCTCCAGGCCATAAATGGTTATAGGGCTGATAACAAATTATCTGTATAGTACTGTTAACAGGAACACTTGAGATGTACCAATGGCTCACTTTAAGAAGCCAGGTGATATGATACCATTATTGCATCATCATAGTTGGAACTTAGTTCTGGCAAAATATGTAATAGATTATATTACAAGATCATCCCTTTGTCATATATTACTCATCAGGGCCGTTTTCATTTATCACAATCCAAATGGTTGAACCGAATGGACCAGAGTTGTTTGTTTATAACAAGTAGAAGTATAGTAATCCAATGCTGTTTTCAGGTGAGCCTTGACAAACTTTTGCAGGTTGACCAGAATTTATACCTGAAAATGATGTGTTTGAAAACAGACGAACCGTTGTTCCGCATAAATGAACAGGCCCCAGGCCTTCAAGTTCATCCCTTGGACACACGACAGGAACATAAAGGGTATATCAAAAGTCATGAAATAACCTATAAATATTATTACCCCTGGAATTTCACAGGCCACATACATCAAATATATAACCACTAGATTTGCACAAGCCACACATGTGTACATATATATTTATAGTATGACACCCTTGCACCAGTCACATACATCACATGTATGTATATAGTCAGACTTTTTTGCACCAGTTGCATCAAAATAGTTATTTCATTACCACCGTAGACTTGCACAAGCCACATTTATCTCATGTATGTATTGTTAAATAATGACACCTAGATTTGCACCAGTCAAACATATATTGTTTATATATATATAGTTATCTAACGACTCCCAGACTTATACAAGCCACATTTAAATCATGTGTCCAGTCCTGTACAAAAAACAAACTAATCAGGTTTCTTTTCACAATAACTTAATTTCCTCTGGTAAAATATTTAATTTTGCTTTTTCGTTTTGTTTTAGGAAAATAACACATTAAAAACTTTATACAAATATGGTTGATAACAATCAACTGTTACCCTACTGTATGTCTGTAGTGTGTGGAGTATCTAGTTAAACTTAGGATTTTGATAAAAAAAACATTAATAAAATAAACAGAAATATCACATATAAATAAATATAATGGAATTAAAATAAATTGAATTTCATTCATGTGTAAAGGACTTATATAAATGTCTACTGTTAATTCCACCCTTCTCATGGCCACCCTTCTCATTGCCGCTCTCCTCATGGCCACCCTTCTCATTGCTACCATTCTAATAGAAGAACTAAAGAGGATTTCACATCACCTCATTTTAGCTGGCTCCAGGAGTCATTACAGGTTCTGTAACTCCATCACACTCTACAGCAACCATACAAACTTTGAGCAGACATTGCCAATGTTATTCTTACAAACAATAATCCAAGTGAATGGTTGAGTAGTCAAATAAGCAATGAGAAGGCTCATGTGCAAATTACTGGATAGAGATTTGGAAGTTAATAAAAAATTGACAGGACAAGATGGTTGATAAAAAGTATTAAACCCCACACAACCAAGGTTACTTGGACCATTGCATGTAACCACATGTTGATATCACATTGGTGGAAAATTCCTCTAAAAATCAACTATCTGGTAAACCAGAGAAAAAGGACAATCCTTTCCAGTACAATGTACATTCGAAAATTTACAATGCTGTGAAGTTTAAGCTTTAGTATTAAAACTTGGCTTAAAAGGCTTCTATTTTTAGAGTGTACACTGAACTAAAGGTGCATAATGTATATTCCAATTGGTATCAAATATGTGGATTCAAGATGGACATGTTCCGTAAAATCTAAAAGATATTTCATCCAATCTGACATCTGGTGATTACTGATCTGTTGTTAGTTTAAAATGAAGCTGTGTAAAATTTGATGATTTATAGTCATCTGTAGTGTTAATTTATTATTGCCTATCAAAGTGAAACAACTACACACAAGTCATTAAGTAATCTGACAAGTCAGCAATAACTGACGAATAATTAATCAAAATTATCTTTGACAACATGACATACACATCACTTCTACCTTGGCTTAAACATACCCCAACACCTTGCCAACGTAACCTGTCAACCCTAATTTGTTCTAACAAACACATCTGATAAAGCTGTAATTTGAGCAACAATCCAACTGCCATTTCAATTAAACACTGAGTAATGAAAAAAGTCTGTATAACCAGGGAGAAATCTTGCATGCATGGGACGTGGCATTCCATGGTCGTGCAAAGGTCAACTGCTGAAAATGTGGTAGATTAAAATGACCTGCTAGGTATGAACTGTCGGTCGGAGTCTACATCTTATACATGTAATTCCAGTGTCAACACTCTATGTCCCCATGAAGTACTGTCAAGAATTCCAACTATTGCACACTCTTTGATACGTAGCTTACATTCTCGCCGATTCCTTAAGTAGCTAACTTACTGTCAGATACACCAGGTTACACTCTCTCAGACAGTTATTCACATACACACCCCAACACCCATCCTAAGGAATGCAGCACTCTGTTGACTAGGAACCTCAAACACACTGTTGCTGTAAGTCTGTGATAAACTGGCTCAGTCTTGTGATTTGTGTTCTGTTTTCACACCGGATGGATTCTCCTGTGTAAACTTTTGTAGTCTGCGCTTTCTTACTTCATGCATCTCATCATTGTGTTCCTCTTCGTGGGGGTCTTCCCATGCTGGAATCGTCTCCTCCTTAGCTGGAGAGAAACCTGTTGCTCCCTCCAGACCTGAAAAATCTTGAAGTCAAAAACTAAATCATTATACTTTAGTAGATATGAAGAAAAAAAATGAACTGATATTTTACAAAATTTGATGCAGCCCAATCAAAATCGTTTTGAGAACTATAGAGAACTATTCAGCTGTCAAAACAGGATTGAGGCTTTTCTATCAATGAGAGTATTTTCTGCTTGAAAGTTGTTACACCTCTATTGTCTTGGCATCATTTATTTATATATTATAAGTTTTCCTGACAAGAAATTATCTGGTTTGGACATGCTAAATATAGTATCAACACCCTACAGGATTAAATAAGGCATAAATGGACTTACCAAGTTTTTGATCCTCTCTGTCTGTTTTATCTGTGGGTTGGAGGCCTGGCCCCTGTGTATTGGTATGTTGTGAAGAATTTTGGCTTGAATCAGCTTTCATTTCTTCTTTTTTATCCGATTTATTTTGGGATAATGGAAAACTAGCTGCACTGATTCCAGCTATCCTGTAAAAGAACCCAATCAGGTAATTTGGAAGAACCAAAACCATTTATGTTGCCAAAGATAAAGGATAAATAGTAACAAACAAAATGTTAAAGTCCCAAATTAGGAAATTCTATCAACAACAAAAATCAAAACATAACAATGCTGGAGAGATGTCAGTAGTCAAACCAAAGTTCTAAACAATATGTATAAACTCATCATTATAATACCGAACAAAAATCTCTCCGCAAATTTATATTAGGAAGAAGCAATAATTGATGTAAGAGATGCAGGTTTACAAACCAGGCTTGCAAACGAAGGGAGGCCACTCTTACCCTGTCTGTGTTGCCACAGTGTTATACTGGTTTATAAGAACCATAGCCCCATCCAGCAGGGCCTGTATGTCCTGTAACCACTGAAGCCTGGCCTCTACGTTTTCCCGTTCCTGGCCCTCCATTGCCCTCAGCTCCTCCGCAGACACACCAGCCAGATTTCTCGGGGGCCGTGGCATTGCTATGCAAACAAACATTAGGGATTTTGATACATACCGTAGATATCATTATTCCTACGCACCTTTACTAAAATGTACTAAATAATCTAAGCTTTCCATATTTGTTACAATTTTATCTTGAAATGAAAGCTAATTCAAACAAGGCAAAATCATATAAGCTGACTATGAAATAATATTGTTTCAAAACCCAAACAAAAATAATTCTACAACACAAATGCAAAACTTCTTTGCAGATGCAGGATTCTCAAATGTTTGAACTTCAAATCAATGCTACCAACAGACACTAAGGTCACTGGATTGAGAGCACAATCCTACCATAACTTCCATATGGCATCATGAATGGCAGCATGGGAGGAACTATGGGGGGCACTGTGGTGGTGCCAGTAGTCGTGGGTGTGGGCTGTGTGGACGTTGCCCCAACTGTCGATGTGCCTGCAGTACTTGATGGCATGGCTGTTGCCGAAGTTGTAGTTGAACTAGCACCAGACGTTCCTGGGGCAGCTGTCAACAAAACAATATTAATTTATTACCAACAAAAAGGGGGCAAAAAAGAAAACAATACACATAGGCAGATTCTTCAAGAGATTATCTCATTTTCATTTTAAACCTATTCTTTCTTTTTTCTATGCAAGTTCTGCCTTGAATGGTGAATCGAGCTAAAACATAACTTATGAACAGTAGGCAAAATATCTTCAAAATTTCTGTATAATTGCCTCAATGTATCCTAACAACGACAGTGATTAAGTTTTGCTTGCACTGTACTGTGGTCTTTACCCATGACAGACCTTAATTCATATTTACCGTATTTACCACAACCTCCAGTTCACTTTTATAATATACTGTATTTACCACGACCTCCAGTTCACTTTTATAATACACTGTATGTACCACAACCTCCAGTTCACTTTTATAATATACTGTATTTACCACAACCCTCAGTTAACTTTTACAATACACTGTATTTACCACAACCCTCAGTTCACTTTTATAATACAATGTATTTACCACGACATCCAGTTCACTGTTTTTACCACAACCCTCAGTTAACTTTTATAATACAGTTTTTACCACAACCTCCAGTTCACTTTTATAATACACTGTATTAACAACAACCTCCAGTTCACTTTTATAATAAATTGTATGTACCACAACCTCCAGTTCACTTTTATGATACACTGTATGAACCACAACCTCCATTTCACTTTTATGATACACTGTATGTACCACAACCTGCAGTTCACTTTTATAATCCACTGTATTACCACAACCTCCAGTTCACTTTTATAATACACTGTATTTACCACAATCTCCAGTTCACTTTTATAATACACTTTATTTACCACAACCTCCAGTTCACTTTTATAATACACTGTATTTACCACAACCTCCAGTTCACTTTTATAATATACTGTATTTACCACGACCTCCAGTTCACTGCTTTTACCACAACCCTCAGTTAAATTTTATAATACACTCTATTTACCACAACCCTCAGTTAACTTTTATAATACATTGTATTTACCACAACCCTCAGTTTACTTTTATAATATACTGTATTTACCACGACCTCCAGTTCACTGTTTTTACCACAACCCTCAGTTAACTTTTATAATACACTGTATTTACCACAACCTCCAGTTCACTTTTATAATACACTGTATTACCACAACCTCCAGCTCACTTTTATAATATACTGTATTTACCACAACCTCCATTTCACTTTTATGATACACTGTATGTACCACAACCTCCAGTTCACTTTTATAATACACTGTATTACCACATCCTCCAGCTCACTTTTATAATACACTGTATTTACTACAATATCCAGTCCACTTTTATAATACACTGTATTTACCACAAACCTCAGTTCACTTTTATAATACACTGTATTTACCACAACCCTCAGTTCACTTTTATAATACACTGTATTACCACAACCCTCAGTTCACTTTTATAATACTCTTACTAATTGCTGGTACTGTATGAAGGGAGCCATTGAATTTCTTTTAACAAAAAGGTTGAGGTGTTATTATTTTCAGATATTGATGTATCAGAATAACAGAAATATTTACCTTGTGGTTGCTGAGGCATGTTTGGCCACATTGGAGGCATACCTGGGAATCCCTGGAATACTGTTATTAATAGAAACAGAGAAAAGAATGATTGAAGAATCACTGCAATGTACACAGATGCACTACTGATTTATTGTTGTACTACTGATATACATGTATTGACTATTATCTCTGATCAAACTTTAGTTCATTAAATGTTTAATAGGGTGCAGCAGTCAAACAAACTTCATGTCTTACAGTTTTGTGGCATCTGTGGTACTTGGGGCTGTTGAGGCTGTGGCTGCTGCTGTTGCTGAGGTGGTTGTTGTGGTGCGGCCGCCTCTGCACGGGTCATCCTTAACACATCCATTCTGCATGTGGGACAGGTTTGTTGGCGTTGGAACCAAGATCGCAGACAGCTTGTATGGAAGATGTGGTTACAAGGGAGCTTCTTACAGGTAGCTAGCATGTCCTCACGACAGATGATACAAACATTGTCCCCAGCTTGCAGTTCCTCCGCTGTAGCGTCTGGGTACAGTGTGTTCATGTTCTGTATAGCACGACGAGACATGATCACATCGTGGAGAGCCTTCTTAAATCCTCTGCAATTAGAACAAAGAAATTTGTTATTGTTTGTAACCTCCTCCTTCAAAATATTGTCATGTTCCAGTACTGACATTCAATCTTAAAAAACATTTTCATTTAAATGCCATATATGTATTTAAATGACAAGCTTTTATTTTTATTTGTAAATAGCATATACATGGGAAAATCATGCAGCAGTCAATGTCACGACTTTTATCTTCCAAACTTTTTGTTAATCCATATGAATCATTATAAACAGATATCTGTAATTTTCAAAGTTGGATGACAGAAAACAAATGTCACAAAGACACAAAGCAATTTGAAAATACACAATGTATTAAGTATTAAGTTCAAACCCTCAATTTGAAGACAATACATAGGACAGATGGTAAATAAGTTACACTTACCTTAAAGACAAATACATAGGACGGATGGCAAACAATGGGAATGTATGCACCTTTATCATGATGGCCATAAACACTATGTATAACACAACCTTTATAAAACCTGCAACACAAATATATTAACACCTTAGAAATATTTTAATGGTATTATACTCTGACAACAAGTAAGATGTTATTTGTTTTATATGTATCAATTCTTTTTCACACAAATGTAATTGAATTTTTTTAATCAGTTTCAACTGTCTATACAGTTATAATAATACAGTGATCAACGTTGACAAGAATCCGATCCAACTTGGACCAAGAGCTTGGTAAAACATTTAACAGTGAGGATGAGCACTGTACTACCTCTGGGTCTGTGATACTGTATATAATGACTTACCTATAATGAGCTCTGTATACAGAAGGTACACAGCTTTGTTTTCCCAAGGATTTTCGTTTTGGAGGTCAATGGAGTGGAGTATATATTTCATCAAGGTCATCCATACCACTGTCAGTAGGACAGCATACTGAAAACACCATTTGCATAATTGAAATGTGTTTGTAAAATAGGATGTATCAAGTAATGGAAATAAGAATTTATTACACAATCTTTTAAGTTATAAACATCATGCAATCGGCTTGATTCTTTGACTCGTTTAATGTAATGAAGGGCTAGGTATTCTTGTGTGAAAATTTCTAGCAACAGTTTCATAATGTTGTATTAATTGATACTTTCAGAGGTAGTTCATATAATTTGAAAAATGCTGGATTTTTTTCATAAAATGTGCAGATATTTGATGATCTTTATCATTGTCAGTCTATTTACCCGATCATAACAAAATGCTGAATTTAGCATTTTACTTTTACAACTCAGAAAACTTTGTGGCTATGAACTCTGATATCTAGAAATTCTTGTTTATCTCAAAGTTGTGAACAAGGCTCAATCCCTGGAGGTACTAGACATTAGAATCAAAAGACATACCTCAAACCCAAAAACAAGCTGTACCGAGGCCCCTTTTGTGAGAGTGCTGTAGTAGGCATCATTGATGAAGTATAGGTCCAACATTCCCAGCAGGCCAAGCAGAGCTGGAGATATAAGCATCTGATGAGTTTCCCAATTATCAGAATATTGATTCAACTATGTCTCAGAATTCCTTATTGACCTCACCATTTAAAAATTATTAACATTGTTTAATTCTACAAGTCTGATGCTAATGGCTAGTATATTTTATGTATGGCTAATGAAACTTTTTCAAAATTTACTATGAAAATATAGGCCAAGCTTGTAGAATGTACTCTAGGACATATCATTTGGAATTTCCTTTCACTTATCATATTTATGGAAAGTTCAAAACTTTTTCGTTACTTGAAAAAATAAATGATATAATGAACTATTGCCTGAATTCAGTGCAAAGCAGTCTTTAAAACTGTCAGCTAATCAAATTTTACTTATTTTTGATTTGTTATGTTATAGAGTGATGCAATTATTGAATAACACAAAATACAGTGAACTTACACAACACACGAATATGAAATTTCACAGAAATCACTGGACTCCTCTCCATCTACAAAGGGAGGTAATCAGCTGTTACTATTTAAAATATATTGAAGTTTTAAAATGTAGCATGCATAGAAAACTGAGAGGGCTTAAAACGATAGCTAAACATTTGAATATTTTCAACACAATTTTGCATCATAATACCAATCAAAAAGATTGATCTTTATGGCTGTCATAGATCAGCTTAGACAGGTTTCACTGTGTATTATTGCATGTTACCTTCTTTATAATGGACAGCATTTTAAAATTATACTCTGAAAATGAAATTAAGTTCTTAAGTTGTTTGGAATTTTGGATTGGTACAGGCTAATTCAATTTCATTACATAAGTGGTCCAGACATGCTCTGCATTTGATAATATAACTACATTTTGTTGTATATATTAATACAGAAATGTCACATTTTGGGAGTAAAAGCAGTGTGTTGATAACAGGGCCACTAAAAAAAGAGAATGTTTGACTTACATAATCAACTCTGTCCTCTGCCAGCCAGTGGAAACACTTGAGAAACAACAAAAGGGTAAACAAGGCCACAAATCTTGGACTGAAATCATCTCGAAATACTGTGAAGGCCAGGCATGTCTCTGTCACTGCGTACCAAGATCGTTCAATCAAATGCTACAAATTAAAACTCACAAAAATGAATTTTAATACATATAATATTACAAATCAGACTTATCTTTAAGCTACATGTAAATAAAATATTTTAAGTTGTTTATTAAAAATATCTTCACATAATCATTCTTTGAATTGTTCTTACAGAATTCAGATTTCTTGCTTTTAAAGAGAGCATGAGGTGAATTTTGGTCAAAACCGAAATATTTTTGATAGAGCGATGACCAAGATTTTCTGTAACAAAGAATGATGACTTTGACCTCAACACCCCAAAACACAAACTTGTTCAAGGTATGATCAAGTCTTGTTTAAAGGCATTCTTGTATTTGACCAGTATTTTAGTGAAATGAAATTTACAGAAATAACATCTTTTTACAATTAGATGATGTCATATTAATAGCTGGGCGGTTTGCATAGATTCTTGAACGTCTCACCAACCCTAAACAAGCTGTAGTATTAGACATCCAAAATCTTAACCTCAGACAATTTCTTTTTCACATCTACACTTACAATAAATGTAGGTAGAGAGTTTTCATAAATCAGAAGCTGTTTACCTCCATTTCTGCAGCACGCAGCTGACCGAAGAAAATTTTCCTCATTAATTTTCCCATTAAAATGACTCCAACAAAAGCTTGTATATACAGCATCTGAAACAACAGTATAAAATTCTTCATCAATAATAATGTGCATCAGGCTATTAGCCAGCCACCCATCTGCCTGTCTTTTGGAATGGCAGTTTTCTTAAAAAGGCCCATTTAGACGGGCAACTTCTCACTATATATCCTTACTATTTTACTTAATTTTGAACAGGCAGTTTTGTCAAAATCGGATAAATATCAGCTTTTTGCACAGGTAGGTTTGAAATCCTGGCTAAAAGCCTGATGTGCATATGATGTATATTTATTTGTATATAAATGTAACTTAATCTTTTAAATGCAGAAATCATTTAGGCCCTTTAATTTTAATTATTTTATTATATGCTCATGTAAAGACACTTGCACAATGATTTTTTAGCTGTATTTCAAGTAAATACGTAATTCAAATACAAACTGGTCCTGAAGAAGTTTTCTTTTTATTTGATTCAGTGTATACATGAATACATACTTTACAGGTTGGGAAACAGCAACTCACTGGAGAAGATACATTAAAACTACAATGCACCCTCTCAAGTCATAGAGGAAACTTTTTGGCTTTCAACACCGACACATTTGTGAAAATGTAAGTCATGTACTTGTAGTGGAACAGAAGTGGGGCAAGCAACCAGGCAGCTCAACTAGTAAAGTGTACGTCTAGAGCTTGGAGTGGCGGATCCAGAGGGGTTTTTTGGGCTTCAGGAACCCCCCCAGTCTGAGAATTTTCTTTAAAAATCATGTATTTTCACCATTTTCCCCCACATGGAACCCCACCCCCCACCCCTGGAAATTTGGAAACCCTCCCAGATAGGTCTCTGGATCTGCCACTGGAGGGTCAGCGTTTTGACCGGTCTGGCAGTAGATATTTCTGCTCCAAAGGAGGCACGGTAGTCTAGTGGTAGGAAGCCAGGCTTGTGACTGAAGGGTTGTGTGTTCGAGTCACAGTACGGCACAGTGTTGTATCTTTGAACAAGATACTTTACTCTGCTTGTTCCAGTCTACTCAGCTGTAAATGAGTATGTGGTTGGGCAGTGCTAATATTGTTGAATGCTAGCTGCGAGAGCTGAAATGGCAGCACCAGCTGTATGCTCCCCAGGGAGTTGGGAAAGATGTTGGCAGGCTGCAAAGGCCCTATAACCACGGATAATTACTTGTGAAACTGCTTTGAGATGACCTACGAACTAGGTTGTAATAAAGCGGTATATAAGAACCACAAGTTGTTATCATTATTATTACAAAATTGGTGCCTGTAACCAACACTTGTTTCAAGTACTGAGTGAATTTTTGGCAAGGGGATACCCTAATCTGGGTTTTAAATATTGTTGTCTTTGAGGACATAGACTTTGTAAAAGGTGGGAGGACTGTAGCAGTGACCAGGTAGCTCTATTGGTACGGCATCCATCTAAAGTTTGGAGGGTGTCAGTTGGATTATTGTCTATATGATCTACATTTAGAAACAGACTGTATAAAATACTAATGCACTGTCTAGATATAGCTAGGTTGTTTACAATTTGATAACAAATACCACCTTCAAATAAGCACCTGTTTATCTTGTGATTTATTGCTATCTGATCATTGGGTCAGAAAAATACAAGTGAGTACATACCCTATGCATAATGTACATGTGCCGTGACTGCTTATTCGACTGCAATATGTAACGTCGTGCAGTATGGTTTTCCATATTGTGAACAAACTTTGATCATTATTTTATTTATTTTTGTAAAAATGTACGTAGGTAGATTAGAACGTACATATATCACTGATACAGTCATTTATCTTCTGACTTGGGTGAAGGAGTCCAATTTTGGCGAATACTCTTCAGAAGTTCAGTGCGAGGATGTTCCCAACCTGTTCTACACTACAGTTCTATGTCAAATTGTCGTGATCAAACATTCAAAATAAATTTAAATCATAACACATATATCCATATAATTATGTATAGTTTAGTTTGATACTAGATAATCTGTACTAGCCATAATATCAATACAAGCAACATCACACGTAATACGTGTACAAAACAGATTGACCATTTTGCATTTGTTTACAATTGTATCCATCGTCACTTACAGCCATACTCGGGTTAGACTTCGTAATATACACAACCGAAGGGTAGAACTGCTTCTTTTGATAATATGCATTTCCAACGACAATTGACGTCAGGACAAAGCTAACCCCTGTTAACAACACCGCCTTCATCTTGAGACTTTTGGTTGCAACTGTAAGGCCTTCGTTCTAAGATGGCGGCACTTCCGATGTGGCAGACGACTTAAAATAGTAACGGCATCTAAAAATAGCATTTTTCATGTGTCTCCCTTTCATTGGATTTTGTAAGTACCGTGTGGATACCACGGTGTTTTTTTTTAGTGTAGCACGGTTCCCGGATACAGGTTATAAATCGGATAAAAGTTGAACAGTAATTCAAAGGCACTTAAGAGTTATGATAATAGAAAACAACCAGAAAATACAGTTTAAAAAAAGGAAAAACTCAACCGGTCCGGCCAGAGAAGTCTGGTCCGGCGGAACCTGACAAGCATGTCATAAAACATATCAACGTCAGGTTTTGCCGACAATTTTACGGATTTTTATTTGTTACATGGGCCGAACCACAGTGACCCGATAATTTGTTACAACTGTATTTGGACTTAAACAAAGGTGTTCAAGGTGTTCAGAGTAATTTACATGCCATCCCAGTGATGTTAAATGCCACCCCAATGATAATCATAACTCCGAGATCTAGCCGCGTTCTTTAACGGCACCACAACTGAAATGCATTTTTTTTGAGAAAGGAAGTCATATTAGCAATCTGATTAAAATCATATCCTACGTCCTAACGTGATACGTAGAGAACGTAGGATATGATTTTAATCAGATTGTCATATTAGTCACTTTCTAATGAAATATTTTACATTAGAAAATATGAGCATCAACAAACAAAACTAGTTATCTTAACTCCGCTTTTTGAAAAATAACTACGTCCTATATCTATATTTCCCCAAACCACGGAATTAGATTAGTTATCTAGGTCCGTGCCCAAACTTAGAGTCTAGCCGTTATGAACCACTTCGCTGTTTAATTCGAGTACAAATTCACAGCTTTTTATGAATGCTTGTTGTCTTAATTAGTAACAACCATAATATACTTTCATATTAGGCTTTTATTTCACATACATTACATAATTCAGTATTCCGTTATTATCCATAATAACCATAAGTTGTCTCACTTACTGAATATTGTATTTTCAATCATTCTGATAGAACCTGTCTGAACAACAAAACTAGTTTTGGTACCGTGACATGGACCGGTATTTTATGGATGGTGGGACAAACATGAACAAATGTTATTTCAAAATCATAAAGGCATTCTACGACGTTGAGTTCAATTTTATGTATATAATTGTTAATATTAAGACGTAGGAAATACCTTTTACACTTCTATTTAACGCACTTGCACGAAAAATCTTAGATAGATCGTCAATGATGACGTTACGTAAAAAAAAAATCAAAAGAAAAAAAACAAAGAGGGATCATCATGCCGTAGCGTCTGTCGTCCGTTCACAAACCCACGGGATAACCGGCAAAGTTGCACAATTAATTTGTGCATTCTGTGATAATTTTTAAACTTGTATTCAGCAATATTGTATCTTAGATGATAAACTTAAACCTAATTTCAACACTTGTACATTCTGTGATATCCTTATAGCTGATACTAAACATTTAACGATAACGATATCATGTTGCACTATTTATGTATTTGTGATATTTGTAATTATGATTTACTAACCACTTATATGTTTTACTAACAATGAGGACCATGTGGTAGATTAGCCTTTGGCTAAACATGTCATCCTCGTTAAATAAAATTTATTATTATAAACACGGACTTAGATAACATAATCTAATTCCGTGTTATATGGAATATATGTGACCACACATTCAGATTACAGCAGAGACGTCATGATCTGGTTGAATGCTAGTCGTTTCGGTAGCAAGTCGTTTCGGGTGACCATTATACGTTTCGGGGCATGACACAAGATGTTTCGGGACTTAATCAAGTCGTTTCGAGACATGTAAAATTTTCGCTTATAAATTACATTTGAATTTTCGCTCCCGTTTCATATAGAGTCCTGTAAATGACCCGTGTCACGACCTATCCGTGCTTGGGATCATTAGTGTTACCAAATTGCTAGTGCTTGAGGGTATACCTACCATCATTTACCCGATTGACAGTGTGTTGTTACCTGGTGAAACTAATCGCATTATTAAATACAGATCTAGAGGAACTTATGAAATTTAACATTCAATTTCTTCCGTTATGGATAGGTTCCTTGTTTGATATTGTAATAATATGTTTTCAATTCACTATATTCTCCATTATTGGCATTAAGAGACGAATGAGTTAACATTGATTCTAATTTCTAACAATGTTTTAAGCATTTTTTAATTTGGCTATATTGAAATTAAATTTCCTGAAAGTAAAAACGTAAAACACATAGAATATGTTTTAGACATGTGAATCAATTCATCAAATCCAGCAATATATTTTGAACGATGTTTTAATGTTGTGTATATTTACTTCATGTTTTATTAAAATCATGTAATGGTAAATGTATGACGGGAGAAGGCGATGCTAAGTTGTAATAACTCTTTCGCACTGTTCGCACTGTTCTTCCAGTCGTTGTAAGTCTTAGACTTGTGAGACTGTCCTATATCTTGTTGTCATCGATACTTTATGGTATGCGCATACCCCATCCATTGTTTAAATCTATTTGACATTGAAATATAAGAAAAAAGACAATGGTATCTACAGAAGAAAAATAATGAAAAATCCGGAAACGACTTTTGACATGTCCCGAAACGACCCGAAAAAAGTCCCGAAACGACCATCCCTGGTTTATGTTATTCAATTATCTATATTAATATATAGAAAAATTATCTTATTAGATGTTCCCTTAGTTTGTACCCGGAATAAGATTGTTATCTAAGTCCGCGGTTTGTAGGACAGAATCGATCTCCTGGATGCTGTACATACACATACTGAGTTCTCACAGGTACAGACAAGCCTGCCTTTATTTCTCTAGTGTTGATATGATGGACAGGTCCAGACGCAAAACAAGGGTTTCAGATTTAATGAAACGGGGAATAAACTCAATGGTATGTTGTCGAGCAATATGGTCAGTGAACTCTGAACAGCTGCAGGGATTATCATACGGACATGGACACGGTTGTTCAAAGGCTGGTAAGCTTCAATTGAATTGAATCTATCTTAAATTGAATTGAACCTATTTTTTTTTCATTTTTTTTTTCAGTACAAATATTTTATTCCCCCAGCCATTTTTTTCATAAATATGTATGTACATTTACTGCTTCGAAGCAGATATATATATACATATATAAATATTTTGATAGGGGATGCCAGGGTTGGGGAGCCCTGGAGTCAGCCCCTGAAATATATGGTGTCCTCACGCAGGAGGGTTCTCATTCAACATCCATCAGTCAAACAATAAATAAATAAATAGGAAGGGCAATGGGAAAATAAAATATTTGCAAATAGAGTACAGGACAAGAACACTAAACATACTTCTTTCACACCCTAACAAATTCCATATACAACATAATATTACAAACAAGGATAAACTTATAGCACGTATACACATTGAACCTATCTTACTCTATAATCTAAACTAGTTCGCTTTCTGATATAAACCGCATTCTTAACCGATCAAATACTCTATCGCCGTTCAGTCTGTACTAGCCCCAAAAAGCAAGGTTTCCAGAATGGTTTGAGCAGTTTTGATGTAAAACGTTTCATGTTGGCCTTATTTATTTTTCTTCTTCCAATACTCTGCATATTGGTGTACTGTCGCAGATTTGACTGAAATACCCCACTTAGGCATAGACAGAATTAATATATATTATTTCTCATCAACATAATTCTCAACATTATTTTCTATCTTATAATCATTTACTGCTAATCCGAAATAATCTGATAACCCAGTATTATGATCCATAACTAAAATGACTTGCTGAAATGTGCTGTGTTGAAGAATCAAGACACTAATAACGTTAATTATGTCAAGCCAAGTTGTCATTTTATCCATGGAGCAATGTTGATCAAGTACTTAACCAAATTTTATAAGATATCTTAAATACTTTATAAGATATCTTATATAAAAAATCAGATATCTTATATACTTTTCTTTATAAGATATCTTATATAATATATAAGATATCTTATAAACAAAATTAAACGAGATATCTTATATAATTCGGTTATAAAATATTTTATAAAGAACGAGATTTGAATTTGAGATAATTAACCCTCCCCCACAGCGCTCGGACCTATCGATAACCGATGGTGTCCGAGAGGATTTGATCGAAAATGGCTGCCTATGACAATGGGACCAGTTATAAACTACTATATTCATGGAGCAATTTTGATCCAGTACTTAACCAAATTATCGCCAACGAAAACGGATGTAACCTTACAACGGGAGCAGTCATTTTCAAACATTTCTTCTTTGTCCGTCTCGCGAGAGTCTCGTTCTTTATAAGATATCTCAATTAATTTTCTTTATAAGATATCTTATGTATTATATAAGATATCTTATTAGATAATTAATTGAGATATCTTATATAATAAATAATATATCTTATAAAGAAAATTAATTGAGATATCTTATATAAAAAATAATATATCTTATAAATAAAAGTTTATGAGATATCTTAATTTTATCTTTTATAAGATATCTTATAAAAATATAAGATATCTCAAAAACTTTAAATAAAATATCTTATATGTATAAGATATCTTATATAATTTATAAGATATCTTCAGGGACGTATATATTCTATATACTGTCCCTGATATCTTATATAATTTATAAGATATCTACTGGATCAGCATTGCTCCATTAATAAATGTATGACATCTTGACTTGCCATAGTTCATCATCCTAAATTTTACATTATTACTATTTAATGAACATTGTATTACCTGCAGTACAGTAGTATATGTGTAATTATATTAAGTGGATAGGCGTAAAGGCTGTGTCCATGTCTATTTCTAATAAATCTTAATAAAATCAATTCGAATATGGCTCTCTCTGGAAGTTTTGGTTAGGATCAGTTACCTCCCTTGCATTGTTATTTTACTGGAGGTAGAAAAGTACGACAGGCAGAATGGATGACAGTCGGCATCGGTGTGTGAGTAAGAAGATTGAAAATGAGAGATTCAACGATGAAGATAACCCAACAGACACATCATACGAACAGGTGATTCTTCTTGACTGTAAGAGAAAAAAATTCGCAAAGTTTCAAACGATGCATAATATTTTTCTCTTTTCGAACTTGATCTATATCTGTCTTTTGGACTTTTCCGCTTTCGATATCTAGGAACAGCTGATTCAAATATCTTTCACAGACTTTATTATTTATCTTTATTGTTGTCTAACTTTCGTTAGTCAAGTATATAAAGCTATAGAAAATAAAGCTATATGATAATATTCATATGTAAGTTTATAGGGTAAAATCGAATTGGGTTATATATAACAAAGATGCCGACTTGTAGTTCAAATATGATAGATGAGAACAGGTGTGCTTCACTTACACTTGTTTGGCTATAAGCATGCATGATGGAAAGGTCCAGATGCGAAACAGGTGTTTCATGTGGAATGGAACAAATCGAGAGGGAAATAAGGTGAAAAGTTTATGTGGTCTATACCGTCATGCTAAATGATTTAATTAATGACAATGAGTACATGACCTTCGAGCTAACTGGCAACATTAACAGTAGTCCGAATTATTCTGACGTTTTATCAACTTTTTTTTTTATATCGGTCTGGCGTCAATTAACGATATAAAAAAAGTCGATAAAACGTCAGAATAATTCGGACTACATTGACAGCTACATCATAATTATGATACATACCATCTTATAATATTGTAGGCGAGTACATGTAGATATAGATATGTTGATTACCTGAGACTACATATTAGTGTCGGTGTGATATGGCACTCATGTGTGTTAGGATTAAGGAATACCAGATTATTATACTAAGGAGGCAGTACCCAAATCGGATCACTTTTTGCAAAAATACTTATAAATCAATAAATTTGTCGGCAAGTCAGTTATAACAATGATGTAATCTTAGAATAGATAGCCATGCACCATTTTTAGCCCACCGTCATCTGATGGGGGGCTATTCAAATCACCCTGCGTTCGTGGTCCGACCGTCGTCCGTCCTTAAACAATTCTTGTTATCAGTATTTCTCAAGAAGCGCCTGAGGGATCTTTCTCAAATTTCATATGTAGGTTCCCCTTGGTCCTTAGCTGTGCAGGGCAACTTTTGAGACTGATCATAAAAATAAAATGGATTAAAAGAAGAACTAAACAGATCTTTCTCATATTGCAATGATCGATTCTATTTCTTTCACATTAAGTAGTGTACTAGTAAATAAGTGAAATGACAAACTCACTTTGAAGGTTGGCTTTCATACACATCAGTATTAAGTTTGGATCAAAAGTTACCTCAAGGTGCTTTAACTGTTAACATGACTCGATCAATCAGATTAGAGGAAAGAAGAGAAAAGATTGAACTGACAAACAACTAATGAAGATGGTACAAAGGTGGGCGCCAAGATCCCTCTGGGATCTCTTGTTTGTCTACATATGATTAGTTTTTAAGTTCAAATGGCACAAGAAAATGTTATTCAAACTCACATGTCAGTGTTTTGATTACGTTTTTAAAAAATGACACATGCGACTACTATGCATTCAGTTTTTGACTATAGGAATAAATTCACTCTATAAAAATACTTTTTGTCATATAAATTCTTAAGGTCATCATAAAATGTTAAAATGCTTACAAAAAATATTCATTTGAAGTGTAAGATACTGCAAAATTCAAGCCTTGATCCGATTTGGGTCCCGTCATTCGCAAAAACTGGAGATGCTGATTGGTGACTTCAGAGTGTTCTATAAATATCTCAAGTGAGCCCCGGGTGCTAATTTCGTTGGTAAGAACACCAATTGATATTCTTCCTTAGAACAACCATAAATGGATATAATTCCTCCTCAGATTTTTCAATGATTAAATTAAATGATGGTTTGGTGATCCGATTTGGGTACTGTCACCTTAGACCTGCAAAGTCTTGGTCTGTCTAACTTTGTGTACATTTGTGCAGTCATGATTCCTATCCCATAAAAGATGTTGATAATTGATTTGCTACTACATCTGTACTAGTAATCCCCTAAGAAATATATCCAACATGAGTGACAAGCTGGGCAACTTACAGTGGCAATTCCTAGCAGAACTTTGATTCTTTGACTCTGACACAATGATGTATAAGATTCAATAAACAAATAACTGTTTGCTCAGTAGATGTAATTAATTATCAAATTAAACTTTATATCTTTTCCACGGAATTAGATTTTCAGACTCTTGCATGCTGTTTCCTTTCATAAACTTCTATCAGAAAAGGAATCTTTCCCAGAATAGAACTATTTATAAATCTACAAGCTCCAGATCTAGATGTCTGCCTAATGGAATTATACAACCTTTCAGTGTTACTCATGTCTGTCTTCCTGATTTGGTGTCATTGCTGTAGCTTATTAGAATTGATCAAACTTTATATAAAGGCCAAGTATGATAATACCTGTGATAAGATTGTATTTTTGAGTTCCAAAAACTGTTACTCAAATGCCAATGATGAGAATACCTCCAAAGAGTTCATGTTCCATGGTGCCAAAGGCAAAGTCACTGGTACTATGTGTAGCAAAACTTGTTTCACATGACTGTCTGTGTTGCTGCATCATGTTATGCAAACATGTTCTACATTTTAAATATGTTCATTGACAATACATGCTGCCCCCTATTCCATCCCCAGCCGTAACTAGCTGCTCCAGAAGCACTGTTAATTGATATATGTTCAAAAATGCTCTTCAGTCAACTACTGAGATCGGGTGTTAGATAGGGATGTCAGAAGAGAAAAGATCCTACTGATGCTCTTCTGTCAACTACTGAGATCGGGTGTTAGATAGGGATGTCAGAAGAGATAAGAGCCTACTGATGCTCTTCAGTCAACTACTGAGATCTGGTGTTAGATAGGGATGTCAGAAGAGATAAGAGCCTACTGATGCTCTTCAGTCAACTACTGAGATCTGGTGTTAGATAGGGATGTCAGAAGGGATAAGATCCTACTGATGCTCTTCAGTCAACTACTGAGATTGGGTGTTAGATAGGGATGTCAGAAGAGATAAGATCCTACCGATGCTGTTCAGTCAACTACTGAGATCTGGTGTTAGATAGGGATGTCAGAAGGGATAAGATCCTACTGATGCTCTTCAGTCAACTACTGAGATCGGTTGTTAGATAGGGATGTCAGAAGAGATAAGATCCTACCGATGCTGTTCAGTCAACTACTGAGATCTGGTGTTAGATAGGGATGTCAGAAGAGATAAGATACTACTGATGCTCTTCAGTCAACTACTGGGATCTGGTGTTAGATAGGGATGTCAGAAGAGATAAGATACTACTGATGCTCTTCAGTCAACTACTGGGATCTGGTGTTAGATAGGGATGTCAGAAGAGATAAGAGCCTACTGATGCTCTTCAGTCAACTACTGAGATCGGGTGTTATATAGGGATGTCAGAAGAGATAAGATCCTACCGATGCTGTTCAGTCAACTACTGAGATCTGGTGTTAGATAGGGATGTCAGAAGAGAGAAGATCCTACTGATGCTCTTCAGTCAACTACTGAGATCGGGTGTTATATAGGGATGTCAGAAGAGATAAGATCCTACCGATGCTGTTCAGTCAACTACTGAGATCTGGTGTTAGATAGGGATGTCAGAAGGGATAAGATCCTACTGATGCTCTTCAGTCAACTACTGAGATCGGGTGTTATATAGGGATGTCAGAAGAGATAAGATCCTACCGATGCTGTTCAGTCAACTACTGAGATCTGGTGTTAGATAGGGATGTCAGAAGGGATAAGATCCTACTGATGCTCTTCAGTCAACTACTGAGATTGGGGGTTAGATAGGGATGTCAGAAGAGATAAGATCCTACGGATGCTCTTCTGTCAACTACTGAGATCTGGTGTTAGATAGGGATGTCAGAAGGGATAAGATCCTACTGATGCTCTTCAGTCAACTACTGAGATTGGGGGTTAGATAGGGATGTCAGAAGAGATAAGATCCTACCGATGCTGTTCAGTCAACTACTGAGATCTGGTGTTAGATAGGGATGTCAGAAGGGATAAGATCCTACTGATGCTCTTCAGTCAACTACTGAGATCTGGTGTTAGATAGGGATGTCAGAAGGGATAAGATCCTACTGATGCTCTTCAGTCAACTACTGAGATCGGGTGTTATATAGGGATGTCAGAAGAGATAAGATCCTACCGATGCTGTTCAGTCAACTACTGAGATCTGGTGTTAGATAGGGATGTCAGAAGGGATAAGATCCTACTGATGCTCTTCAGTCAACTACTGAGATTGGGGGTTAGATAGGGATGTCAGAAGAGATAAGATCCTACTGATGCTCGTCTGTCAACTACTGAGATCTGGTGTTAGATAGGGATGTCAGAAGAGAGAAGATCCTACTGATGCTCTTCAGTCAACTACTGAGATTGGGGGTTAGATAGGGATGTCAGAAGAGATAAGATCCTACGGATGCTCTTCTGTCAACTACTGAGATCTGGTGTTAGATAGGGATGTCAGAAGGGATAAGATCCTACTGATGCTCTTCAGTCAACTACTGAGATCTGGTGTTAGATAGGGATGTCAGAAGAGAGAAGATCCTACTGATGCTCTTCAGTCAACTACTGAGATTGGGTGTTAGATAGGGATGTCAGAAGAGATAAGATACTACTGATGCTCTTCAGTCAACTACTGGGATCTGGTGTTAGATAGGGATGTCAGAAGAGATAAGAGCCTACTGATGCTCTTCAGTCAACTACTGAGATCTGGTGTTAGATAGGGATGTCAGAAGAGATAAGATCCTACTGGTTTTCACATTAGTTATGAGTGATTATAACATATTATTTGTACTTTTCTTTACTTTGTATATAATGTTAATGAATATTGTCTTATGCCAAAATAAAATGCATTATGTGCCCCAACCCTAACCCTAACCTTTTAAAATAGAAATTAATGTGTAATATCGGACATAACTTATCACAGAAATGTGTTTTTATGCTCATTGTACAGATGCATGTTGAAGACTCAGTTGGAAAAATATTTGGACACTTTAAGAGCAGATTGGAGTTGGATGACAGGTAATTATAATTTATGATGCATGTGGAGGAAAGGGTGTTTCTTTATATGGTACACATTTGTATGTACGCAAGTAGCGGTCCTGAAACTGACTAATTAGAGCTTAACTAGCATTAAATATTGAAAAAAGTAGTTTTAGGATGCATATACTTTTCATAAACTACACTTATTAAATATTTTAAGTATTCATCCCATTCCATAAAATAGATTGTGTACCGATAAATGCTATTCATATAAATGCAAACAGAAATATACTTAATTGTGAGAGAAGGTTAAAGATATTTGTGCTGTCGATTTAAATGCTGCATCCACAATATCATCAACAAGTTTATGTGATTCAATTCTTACTGTGTAATTATATGTTAGGACATGATCATTTATATGTTATGATTGAAGTGCAGATGACATACCATAATTATTGTTTCTGTCTCCATTTCAGCTTAGAAGAACAACCTGTGCTGAATAGGCAATCTCATATAGCATTTTTATTGAAGGGCTTAAAGGCTCTGTCACTGTCATATGAGGTAAAGACTCAGAAATATGTTTTTTGTATTGCATGCAATGGATGTCACAAAGATGTAACATACATGTATGTGTTTACCTCTACCTATATTTTCTGTTCCAGTGACTGTCATAGTGTCTTCATCAATACTGTATTTAGCTGTGTGTTTTACAATAGATATTGTATCTCAAAACGTTAAGTCCTAGACAAATTAAACCTACACCATAGATCCATCTCATTCCTGGTCATATGGTCACAAATTTTATATTAATCATGAAATGCAACTAATTTGTCAATTTCCTTTTCAATGTTAGTAATATTTGCATTCAGCTTTATTGTCTGAGTGAAAGACCATGGCCAGCTAAACTTGAATTAAAAATGATTCATGGGACAGGGGCCACACAGGCTGAGTGCCTAAGGCTATCGTCTATGACGACTAGCCCTCCACCACTTGGTTGCAGTTTTTAAACCTACGTTGAGCAGTTGCCAAATGTCTGAGCGAAAGACCATGGCCAACTAAACTTTAATTGTAAAATTTAATGATTCATGGGTATTCTGCCTGAATATATGCTTCAGATGCTGAGTATGACATTTTCATGGTCTTATTACTTTTTTTAACATACTCATATGAGTTACTTTTTGATCTAATACAGTGTAGCTGTTTTTCAAATACTTACAAGTGCTATGCCAAATAGACTAGGCTTTAAATATTTTCAGATATGAATATTGAATTGAAATATTCTGGGCTAAATGGTAAATGGGCTAAGCACACAAGCTTTTGCCTATCAGTGGTAAAAACAGTAACTCCAAATGCCATATAATGCAGGATGTGATATTTTAAAGTATTGGTGTAAAGATAAATGACCGTATACTTTCTTTCAGTGTCTTGATGCCAGTCGACCATGGCTGTGTTACTGGATTCTCCACAGCCTAGAGTTATTAGAAGAACCCCTTCCAGAGGACACTGTGTCAAAGTAGGTTATCTCTGAAACATGTTTTCCCTAGACCTGGTAGTGCCATTGTTTTATCTCAAATTTGAATGGCAGGAGGAAATTGTTTCTGATATACAATGTAGTTGCTGTCACAACCTGTATTTGAGGATATTTTTACCATACCTCATTCACAGTGACTTACATTGTATTTAAGAATTTAAATTATCACACCAAGTCAATAGATGGGTCCTTTCTGTGCTATTTTTCCTAAAACCTGAATGTTTCCGCAATGAAAACTTGATTGTTCTTTCTCTAAAACTGATTTTATTTTTAAATTTATTCTTTCAGTGTTGCTCAGTTTTTGGGGAAATGTCAATGCCAAGGTGGAGGATTCTCAGGTATAGAAGCTACTCCAACAATGTTAGAGGTTTTACACGGCAAAAAAACTTTTGACAGGCGCCACGTAACAGTCGGCAAAATCATATCCGATTGAAAAAAGGCCGACCAGCGGCCTCTCATGTTATGGGAGTAGTATAGAAGCGTAAATGACAATGCATTCAGTAGGATTCAGGAGTTTGTGGTTAATTCAATTTTTCAATTGCTATAGATAGAGAACACATGGTTAGTATCTGAAAATACAAGCACAGGGGTAAAGAAAGACCATCATTTCTTATTGTTCGATCCAGTATTTAAACAATCTTACACTGCAACCCTTTCATTTTGCAAAATCACAGACTTTTCTACTAAAAACACTGATTTCTTACATTTAACATCAATTGGTGCCAATTATATGGAATGATGAGGTCACTCCTTAGAAATAGCATATTCCAGTTTGATGTCTATTTTTGCAAGTCAATTTGAGGAAAGGAGTATGTTTTTCGCATATAAATTATAAAAGATTAATGTATCAATATATTCACAGTAGTATGATAAATTAATGATAATATATGATTTGTACAATAAGTAGCAAAGTAAGGCCATATAGGTTGTTTAATATTTCCATACCATGCTACAAAACATTGAAAACTTGGTATTAATCCAAACAGCTGGGAAACAATTTCCTAACACTGATTTAACACATTTGCATGTTAAGTAAGTGCTTCACCTCATTTTCCTGGAAAGCCAGGTACTGTTGTATATCCAGTGTTATATACAATGTTCTCTATATTAAGTGTTATGTGTTTAAGGGGGACCAGGTCAGGATGCACACTTAGCCCCAACATATGCAGCGGTGAATGCACTGTGTATCTTAGGTACAGAGGAGGCCTACTCAATTATAGACAGGTAAAATTGCCCCAAACATTTGGGAACACCTTTCTGGTCCTAGGTACAGATAATACCAGTACCTACAGAGTTATAGACATACATGTAACTGTACACCCCCCCCCCAAACAACAGTAGTGACTACACAGAATTAACAATTACAATTTTTTTTTTATTTCTTTCCAGATTATGTCAGAATATTTCACATAACAAATACTGTATTACAAAAGTTGCAAGATTTTTAGAAATGCAAAAGAGAAGAGGAAGTGTTCACAAAAGGCAATTAGGAAAATTCTAAAAAGGTTATTTAGTTGTCACTTTTGAAGAGAAGTATATCTCATAATCTTGTGAGTATTACATCATGCTATTAAAGGATATGGCGTATGTATCATAGGTAATCATAAACTTTAATTCTTCATGTCGGGAAGGTTCTTAGTTAAATATGACTTGGGATACGAATTGTTTGATAAAAGTTTTAAAGTCAGATAAAGCAGATGTTTCATCTTAAAGTAATATTTCTTTTTCTTAAGTAATATTTCTTTTTCTTAAATATGACATTTACTAAAATGTATTTGTCCATAAAAAAGATGCCATGACCGCTTACCAGTCACAATATGTTTTGTGATTATAAGCATGAATAATTGGACTTTCAATAATTTGACACAGCCTTGTTATTATTCTAAGAAATATCAAATTGAAACATAAAAATTAATTCCACAAATTGGTAATATGTAACTGATGGTATTATGAAATTTCTATCCACAGACAAAAGCTTTATACATTTCTTATGAAGATGCGCACACAAGAAGGGGCTTTAAAAATGCACGAGGGAGGAGAAGTTGATATACGGTAATCTATTTAAGTTTGTAAACAAAATCCTGTAGTTATTATCTCTATGTATCGTACTGGTTGACCTGAAAATGTTAATGTAAGACATAAATATCTTTCTTATCTTCATATGTCGTCCATCTATGTATACTGATGATTACAGACCATTGTTGAGAG